CCGCTAAAACCACCACTGCCTCTGTGACTCCAGCAGCAACTCCCATCTCATCTGCCTGTGTCGTCCTCCCCTGCTGCAAAATCTGTGGGTTCTGGGCTACAAGAAGAGACCTCGGCCAGCATGGTGACCCCCTGCGTGGCCAACAGGGAACCAGAGTGCTGCCCAGCCTCTGCTGGGGTTGGCACCAGGTGCTGCTGGCATCCCAGCACTGCCCGTGCCCGCCCCCTGCCCCTCCCTGCCTTACGCCTGGTTGCTGCTCACAGCTCTGTGGTGCTGCTTCCAGGAGTTCAGAGTTGCTCAGAGATTTTTTGAGCCACTTAGGAGAAGACAAAAGGCTCTCTAGAGTAGGGTGGAGGAGCAGCCAGGAGCCAGAAGGTTGTCTGTGAGTGGCAGAGGTCTGCAGAAAGCTACTCAGCATCCCCCCAACCCACCACCCCAGGTTTCAATCAGCCCCATTGCCACTCACAAAGCTGTTGGTGCTCAGAAGCTTTCCTATTTCTCCAGGAGGTGCTAGAGCTTGTTCCTGAGCAACTGGACAAGCAAAGGGCCCAGCTGAGAGTCCACGCCGTGCCTGCTCTGAGGGGGCTTCCCCCCAACATCTTGAGCCCCTGTCCCTCCTGCCTGGAGTGCCCCTGGGCATCAGTGTGTCTCTCAGCCCCTGCTGAGCCGCTGGTTCAGTCTGCCCGGAGCAAGGCTGGCATCTCCCTGCGGCCCCTGGGATCCAGCTGTGCTTCCCAAGCCCCCCTGTCTGCCCCCTCCTGCCAGGAGCTGCTGGGCCCCTGCCTGATCCCTATCTCCTGCCTGCCCAACGTCAAGAACAGATCCAGTGGACACTGCTGCCTGGGAACCGGGAGTGGCTGGTGCAACTGGTGAGCAGGGGCCTGGGGGCACCCAGGAGCAGGGTGGGCACTGGGAGAATGCAGGCGGCGTGGGTGGTGCCACCAGGCCCCGTGAGTACACTGGGATGGGGAACTGGGCAGCACAGGGAGGGTGTTGAGGCACTGGGGGACACTGGGAGTCCCAGAGGGATGGTGACAGTCACATATCTGCTGACGGTTGTGCCCTGCAGGCAGGACTCCTGGGGGCTGTAGGGCTGGTGTTGGCTGCAGTGGGGTGCGGGGATGCCAGGGGACCCTTGGGAGACACTTCCAGCCCTGGCAGGGCCAGATCCTGCCTAGCACTGGCTGTGCCGGCAGAGCCAGGGGCCCTTCTGGCGGCATGGGAGGGAGTGGGTCTGATGGCCATGGGTATGTATTTAATAAACGGTGGCAAAAGATCAGAGCTGTGACGCCTTCAGGGAGGCGTACGGAACACGGCAGGGGGCAGGGCGTTTGGGGGCTGCCATACGCCTGGATGAAGACGTTCTCTGGAGGCAGGTGGCTCTTGGCGCTGCAGACCCCCCAGCCCTGAGGAGAGCAGGAGGTGCTGGCGGTCCCAAGGCAGGTGCCTGTTCACTGCAGAGTCAAAGGTACGTGGGGCAGGGAGGGCTGGGGGACA